GAGATTTAAATGCTGTTACTTTAAGGCATAACTTAGCTCTAACGGAAAAAAGTTTGGAAGCTAACTTTCCCTTAGGCATGTTATTACAATTTGATAACTCTCAAATATCTGGATATCTATCACTGAAAGAACACAAGCTTTTGGGGAGATGTTCTGTAGTTCACATAATCTGTCAATTTAAATATATGTACAGCCTAAGTCACAAGTGACAACACCAATTTACAATCATAACTTAGCTCTAACGGAAAAAAGTTTGGAAGCTAACTTTCCCTTAGGCATGTTATTACAATTTGATAACTCTCAAATATCTGGATATCTATCACTGAAAGAACACAAGCTTTTGGGGAGATGTTCTGTAGTTCACATAATCTGTCAATTTAAATATATGTACAGCCTAAGTCACAAGTGACAACACCAATTTACAATCAAGAAAAAAAACTTATAAAAATTGGGAAAAAACCCACAATAATTAGAGTACCAGTGCACAATGAAACTGCACATTGAAGAAAAGAGACCAGGAATGGCAGCACTTACAGCAGACACTTACAAAAAGCCATATATATCTAGTTAAGAGTAGCATAAATATGCTAAAAAGTTACCCAGGCCTCTTGATCAGGCCAGATAAAAAGATCAAAGCTCTGCTCAACCAGCTCAGCAGAAGCTTGAGAACAGATAATAAACCTACAGAAGACAGTAGCTGGACCACAGAGGAACACACTTCTCCTGAACTTTGAGGAACAAAAAGTAGCAAATTTACCAACCGAAAAGGGTAACAAAAGCAGGTGTCTCAAGAGATTTGAAGCTAGTCTAGAGCAGAACAAAATCAAGGAGTGGAAGACCCACTGCACGCACAGGGAAAAACAATCCACCAAAACAAAGCATGAAGCATGTTTTAATGACACTGACTGCACTGGCCTTTGCTATTATATTCATGGTAGTAAAATGCCTGAAAAGTGTTAATTCAAAAGTAAAATAGCTTGTATATATAACAATTTCAAGGAAAGAAACATACCAGTTATTACCATGGCTACACAAATCAATCATACAGCACTCAAAAGTATAAGGAAAGGAACATCTGACCAGATATCACCTACACAGCTGTTGGCTCTTCCAGACAGCTATGAGCTGGACAAGTAATGAGATAAAATACATTAGCTATAAGCTTGTCTGTGTAACTAAACGACCAAATCCTGACCATTTAAATGCAGAGTTAAAGATCTTCCATGAGCTGGAGCTTGCCCTCACTCGTAATTTTGCATGTCACAGCTCAGGAGATGCTGTCTCAAGGAACCAGTCACAACCAGACACACTTTTAAGCATGGGCAAGAGTGTTCCTGCCACCTCCCACAGATCCCTGCTCCATGCAGGCCCACAGAGCCAGACTGGAGGAGTCCAGCTCCATCTCCAGCTGAAGGAGACCAGTGGGTTGTGACTCCTCCCTCCATCAGACAGCCTGGGGCCAGTGAAGCCTCTCCAGGAGCACTCAAACTGAGGGACAGGCTGCACTGAAAATTTGTCAGGTAACTCTCCAGTCAGCAAGTTAGCAACTTTAACAAAAACAAACAATCAAAAACAATCCATAAATCACAGGCATGGTAAGAGTCAAACTGCTCTGAACAGAAAAAGCATTGTTCTATATTCCACAGGGAAACATGCACCATTCCCACCCATTTAATGGAAAACAGGAATGAATACCTAAGTTATCTAGTAGGAGCCCAGAAGGAAAAACGCTTGGTGTCATTAGTGCTTCAAAAGCAAGGAGCAGTCAGTGGAGTCAGAGATTTCAGTCTGCCTGAGCGGAACTGTGGGAGCAGGAAGAGGCTACGGATTCCCCATCCCTGACTCCCAGAGGAAACAGAAACAGCACAGCAATATATGGGGAGTGGCCAGCAGGAAGGTTACAGTAACTCACCAGCACCTCTATGTTTATGGTTCTACTGCCACCCCTGCACTGTTATCAAAATACTCAAACACACAACACTAAGGGCACCACGAACAGCTCATACCCCTGAGAACAGCTGGAAATAAAATGGACTCGGAGGTTCAAGAAACATCACTTAGTCTTAGGAGGTGCTAAAAGATTAATATTAGGAATTATGAGGAAAGGAATAGAAAATGCCATAAAAATTGGTGTACTGCTGAAAGTGCAAATCTTGAACAGGCTAACAACAGTCACTCATGGCACACAATGCAAGTAGAAAGTAATTATTTCATATTTCTGATAACAAAAATGAGAAATAAGTGATTAAATGTATTTTAAAGAGAATTATGAGGAAGCACTTGATCCTGACACAATTACATAAATTCAACTGTAAAGCTGACAACCATGAGACGTGTGTCAAAAGTAAAAATGGCTGCAAGTTGAATATGAAACTAGCTCTCTGAAATGTGTGCATTTGTAAGTACTAAATACAGTGGTCCAAGTACACCACCTGGTTCAAATTTCCTCAAGTCCTAATTATCATGAGAATGTGCCACAGCAAAACATCTTAAGTCTTTTTTTCATTCTTCTCCTGTTCACTTTCCTATCTGGTGATTTAGAAGTGGAAGATCTGGCTCTGCCACCTAGATATGAAAAAGCTAGAGCAGAATTCCATGTATTAATGAAATACTGATTTTCTGTCCAGAAGGAAAGTGTTATAATTACACATTTTCTCTTTATTCTTGCTACTGCTGTAATCACAACTTTAAAAGCTGTATTGTTCCACCTTCTGCATTGTAACAGCCATTCACTGAACTCCATCCCGGCAGAGCTGCACAAGTCTCTCAGAATTAAC